ATATTTCGATGATTTTCTCTTTTTATCATTAGAAAATCATTATAACTAAACCAAATCTGTTTATGAGTAATGTCATTTTAGTTCATATAAACAATTTATTTCAAATAAACTTTTCTCTATCACCTTTAATTTTTGAGATATGATCTATTTTAATACCAAAAGTACTCAATTTTAACATTTTGGTGATTTTGTCTTTATCACTAGAAAATCATTATACCTAAACTAAATTTGTTTATGGATGATGTTTTTTTAGTTCATAATAAACAATTTATTCCTAAAAAACTTTTCGTTAGCACCTTTCATTCTTGAGTTATGATCGATTTTAAAACCAAAAGTACTTAATTTTGACATTTTGGGGACTTTCTCTTTATCACTAGAAAATTATTATGCCTAAACTAAATTTGTTTATGGATGATGTCTTTTTAGCTCATAATAAACAGTTTATTCCTCAAATTACGTACAATTTCACAGCCGACTACTGAATTTTCTACTAGCAGTATCTGGTCTTCAGCAAGTAGGATATAGTGTATTTCAAGCAGTATTAGCCTCCATCAAACTTCGAACTGTTTACAGTCTTGTGCATACGGTATTTAATTTTTTGCAAGCTGTATTTAATCCTCTACAAAGTATACAATCCTCTAGTAGCAATATCTGCTCTTCTGCAAGTAGTATATAGTGTAACCAGTATCTAGTCTTCTATAAACTTGGAGAGAAGGGTGAGAATCTGTATTACTGAGATTTCCATCAATGTGCTTACCTGGTCGTCACTTACCTATTTAGTCATTGAAGTTGCCCATCAAGATTAAGAGTTCCTATTTAGGAAGTTTCTATCATTCTTTCGTGTCATAGCATGTTTTCTTGTAGTTATCAAAGGCGATTTTGATTCATATAAAAATTTTATAGTGTTTAGATATAAATTATTAAAAACTTTTTTCATAATATATTTTATACCAATTTATTTTTAAGTAACAAAACGTTTTTATTAAAATAATTAAGCCCAAGCTTTAGTCAAACCTTCAACATATTTATTACTTTCCCGATTTAAAAGCTCCTCGCAATCTTTAATATCACAATCATTCCTTGTAGTTTCTTTCAAAAATCGTAACATCAACGAATTATTAATGTACAAAGCGGTAATTGGATTGATTTTCTTCATAAACCAATTCAGCCAATAACCACTCCAAAATAAAGTATCGCCATGATTCTCATGAGTTGTCCGCCTTTAAATAATAAAGAAATAATTGTATTTATAAATTAAATCAAAATAAAGTAAAACTTACAATATCGTATACATTTTTGCGTTCTCCCCAAGATATTTTTCCATGGAATCGACGTTCGATTTGATGTGAAAAGTTTGGGTGTTAATAAATAACAATTTTTGATTAAAATTGTTGTAAATTTCTTCATTTTTAATCGGGAACATCCAAGGATCTAAAATTATTCCTTGCCTAAAACAATTAAATTATTCTTTTTTATTTAAAATTTAAATTAATACTTTAATTCGGATCTTTTCGACATCGTTAAAAGAGCCGTAGCTCCACCAAAAGAATGCCCACACATAGTTATTGATTCAACATCTAATTTTCCGACTAAATCTTCTAATTTGAAATCAATTTGGTGATTATTTCGGGTATCACTCATTACGTTGTAAGGTACTAAACCGTTATTTAAGTTGATTAGAAAGTCTAAAACTTTGCTGCATTCTTCTGCGCGGTATTGAACTTGTTTTGTTCGCGATTCTAAGTGGCCTTGCCCCAATTTGATTAATTTGTATGAAATTGCTGTTCTGCGATCATTTTCAGCGTCCTCTTTTGAGTTATAATAATATGTGTAACATGAAGATTCATCTCTGTGCTCAAGTGAGGCTACAATATAACCTCTCGAGGCTAAATCGCCTAATATCGTGCTATATAAACTGCGATAAGCACCCAATCCATGCGAAAAAATGATTATTTTAAGTTTTTTATCTGTTTTAGGGGATTCTCCGTACAACATTGGGATCTTCATTGAACCTGAATAAATTAAAAAATAAATCAAAGGGGTTAAATTAATTAAGATGAAGATAAAGCACCTCCTTTCCAATAAAAGAAATTGATGATTTTTGGGGATAACATAACAACTTTTGCTTCCCCTATGATGTAATTGTCATCGGGGAAGAAAGGTATCCATTTTTTGTGGTTAATTTCATCGTTATCCTTTATATTTGTGGGATAATATAATCGAAAGAATACTCCGGATTTTTCGTACCCCAAAGCGACATCAACACACGAAGGAACGAAGGGGCCTAAAAAAATTATAAGTAAGAATATCCATTATTAAACAATCAAAAGATCAATTCTAGATCATTCTACTAGAATCTCCGCGTGCACACAGAATATTACAATAATTGTACTATTAATTTTAATAATTTAGTGCTAGTGTTCAGATTAAGTGTTTATTATAGTGATTTAGAAGACAGTGACTTTACAATAGTGTGGTAAGTACAATTTTATTGTATACTAATTGAAAAATCTTCACAGCCAACAGAGTCAGTAGTTGTAGATTTAGTGCCAATTTGTGACATTAAGCAAATAAATGATAATAATAATAAAATAGATCCATGGGATCCAAAGAATGAGCAGTCCCATCCCGAAAATGGAAATAATTGTGAAACTTTAGGGATATGTACAATTTGAATTTCATCTCAGCAATTGCGACAACTTAATAAAGTTATATCTTACAGTTAAACTTATATATACATGATTATACAAATAAATAAATATAATAACAAAATAAATAGTAGCAAGAAAAGAGGAAAGAGTAAAAAGGCCAAAAAGTAAAAGAAGGAAGAGACATAAAACAGAAAAAAGGAATTGAAAAGATACAACAGTAGAAGATACAAGAAGAAATGTCTAAAGAAAAAGCAGAAGGACAAAAAAAAGATAAAGTGAACATGAAAGCTATTATAACTGCTGAAGAAGCAAATGTTTTTTAAAAGCCGCTTTAAAGCCAGATTCACCACGCTGTTTGATATGCAACATTATAAACCTTACATATATTGTACATCCAGACTATAAGAACTAAAATTTATTAACAGATTAGCAACAGAAAATGGTTATCCAAATGTTATACAACAAAAATGTTGTGATTGTCCTGCTTTATACAAGACGTTTCAGGTTTTTGTAGCAGGACTTTAACCATATATACAGGATGTTCATTTCAGAACTTTCCACCTCAATTTCTGTAAATCCGGAAGTTTAAAAAGAAAATCGCTGAAATAGGTAATAGTATATTAAAAAACAAGTTTCGTAAGACACGCTTGAAGTTTTATACTTTTTTTTAACAAAAATAAAGTAAATTTTGGCAATGTAGGGAAATAGGTATTATTATTATTATTATTGCTGCTGGGCTGAGGAGGGCGGCCCCTCTCGTTACCGCGACCTATAAGATCTATTGTAACTTTAGCCCTCCAAAGGTTTAGGGCAAATGTAGG